AAGTAATTGTCCAAGGCCACCACTAGCAAGTTGGCAGAGCTGGGATTCAAACCCAGGCCGTCTGAGTCCAGGGCCCACACTCTAAAGGCCTCTGCGAGGTCACCTCTCCTCTCCAATGCTGACTGCCAGAGGGTAACTGCCCAGGGGATGGAGCTGGGGGGAGATGGCTACACTGAGAGTCAAACACTGAAAACCTTTGGGGCTCCCCGGGCCAGAGGTGGTGGGAGCTGACACGGGTGACACCTGGTATTTGGGGAGGGGAAAACATGGCCCTCACTTCTACAAATATCTATTTCTGCTCTGGAGCAGTGCAGCTAGACAATTTCCCCTTCCTACTCAGAGCATGGAGGCAGGGGAAGGGCTGAAAGATCGGAGTCAGAGCTATGACCTCCAGAGGCCGATAGATGGCGCTCATGGCCCAACACAGCCCAGGCAGCCCAAGGAAACCACAGGAAAACAAGCCTGAAGTTAACCCCTTACCGCCGGCGCTCAGGCCCCAGGAACAGGCTGATGGGTGGCAGAGGGCCCTGTCCCAGGACCGGCTGGCCCCTAAGGAATGAACCAATTCTCTAGGCTCTGTCCAGGCCACAGCTGAGTCTGCTTCTATCCATAAGGCTCTATCCATAAGCCAGCAGCCAGTCACTTGGAGATTTCCCAGAGGCCAGGAGTCTAAGACAAGGACAAGGCAGGTTTGAGGGCCCCACCTCAGCCCAGTGCATCTCTCAGGCTCTGTCTCTGGAAAGTTTATGGCTGTCTATTTCTAAGCATGGAGGTGTGGAGCCCCTCCTTCCATCTTCCCTCAGAGGGACTCACTCGGTAGGGAGGAGTAGCTTGGGCTAGAGGCAGAGAAGGGTCCTAGGTCCCTCTTGGGTCAGCTATAGGGACTCACTGTGGGTTCCCCAAAACTCAATTTCTTCCTATGTCTGGACCCCTATCTCTGGGCTCCTTGGGGTGAATGGCTTTACAGGGACACAAACAGTTATCCAAGTCTTCCAGGAAGTTGAAATTGGGCCTGGGGTTCTAGGGATCTCCATTTGTCTGTCACTCACTTCACTCAAGTCGGAATGTCTGACTTGCAGTGTGTAGGGGCTGCCATGATGAAAAACCGGAAGTGCTTGGCAAGCAAGTGGCAGAGGGGTGGGGTGGGCAGGAAGGTTGTCTAAGGGATGGTGAAGCTCCTAGAATTCTTAAACACTGTTTCCCATTTCATACTAATTTTTGTTAAGAAACACACAAGTACATAGATGTACAGAGATAGAGGAACCTGAGGGAGGTGTCAGTTCTGGAAGCTCGGGGTACTCTTATTTCAGTCATTCCAGAGAAAAGGAATGAAGCAGATACAGGGAAATAGATGTACACAGAGAGGGATAGAGACACACAGATCAGAAGAGGCTAGAGATAGAGATAGAGATAGATTTATTTGGGGAGAGAAAGGCCAAGACACAGAGAGGGAGAGACTCTGACACAAATGAAAGCTCAGGAAGTAATGGATTTTGCCAGGTGGATGAGTAATTAAGTTTCCAAAGTCTTGCAAGGTTGAGAGTAGTTTCTCACCTTTGGTATCAGTGTGTCACTGCTCATAGTTCCCTGAAGCTCCTGCTGCACCCACTAATTTTTTGTCTGTTAGTAGGAGAGCAGGGGAGGCTTGGGAAGGGGGTAGCATCCTTGTTTTCTCACTTCTTCCTGTTCTGGGTTTATTGGTCTCCTTCCTTACTACCTACAGGGAGACCTGGCTTCTTCCTGATCTCAGTCATGGCTGTGCTGATGTGTGCAAGGGATGGAGGTGGGAGGAATCTAGAAGATCGCTGATTTCAGGGGGTTCCAGTCTAATGAAACAGAGACAGACCCAAACAGAGGACAAGAACAAAACTATGAGTGGGACAGCTTTGCACACTGGTATTGGGTTGGGGAGGTGGGAAGGAATGGACTATTAGGAATGCAGCCATGGGATTGCGATGGGTCAGGAGTGGTGTCCTGGACATAGTATTTGAAGGGGAGGGTTGGGAATGATGGGAAGTTATAAGGCTGGGCAAATAGTAGTGCAGAGGGGAGAGAGAAGTCAAATGGTAAAGCCATGGAGACTTAAAGCCATTATTATGACTTGTTAGCTGCCCTGACTGGCTGGTGTTACTCAGTGGTTGAACATCCACCTATGTATGAACTAGGAGGTCACAGTGTGATTCCCAGGCAGGGCACATGCCCAGGTCATGGGCTTGATTCCCAGGAGGGGGCATGCAGGAGGCAACCGATCAATGATTCTTTCTCATCATTGATTTTTGTTTTTTTAAAAAATATCTTTTTATTGATTTCAGAGAGGAAGGGAGAGGAAGAGAGAGATAGAAATATCAATGATGAGAGAGAATCATCGATCAGCTGCCTCCTGCACTCCCCACATTGGGGATCAAGCCCGCAATCCGGGCACGTGCCCTTGACCGGACTCGAGCCTGGGACCCTTCAGTCCACAGGCTGACGCTCTATCCACTGAGCAAAACCGGCCAGGGCTCATCATTGATGTTTATATCTCTGTCTCCCTCTCCATTCCTCTCTGAAATCAAATATATATATATATGTAAAGGAGTTGTTAGGAGATGACAGAAGTGCCTCTGTGGATGTTCTACATACAGTCCTAGGAGGGCTGCAAAGGAGAGAGGTCTCTTACACCTGGGGCAAAGGAGGGCTAGAACTGGTTTTTAACCATGTTAATACCCTCAGGTGGGTTGAGAGGTTGGGGATGGTTGAAGATCCTTGATCCTTAACCCCTTTGGGGAAAGTGTTGTGGATGAGCTATGGAAGGTTGATGCCTTTAGGGCTAGAACCCAGGATCTTCGAGGTCCGTAGTAAAAAGCCTGGCTCTCACTTCTCAAATGTTGTTGATTTAGCCCTGAAGTGAAGAATAAACTACAACCCCCAGCATCGCTTAGCGCTAATTTAGCACGCTTTCCGGGGACTTGCGCATTTCCGGCGGAAGTGGCCGCGACTACGCCAATCGCCTTTCCTAAGCAGAGCGGACTACGATTCCCACTGTCCTCCGCGCCCGGGGGCGGGGAAAAGGACTCGGAAACCGGATGGGCAGCTGGGCCAGGTGAGGAAGTTGGAGGCTAGAACCCAGGGGCGACGGGGGCTGGCTCGGGGTTCACGCGGCTTCGGGTTGGCGGCAGGCGGGGAGTCGGGATGTCTGCGTTTTGGGGCCCCTCGCGCTGTTCAGGGTTCGACCCGGCGCAGAGAGCGCGCAGCCCTTGGAAGCCTGGAGGCCTGCGGGGCGAGGCTTTCTCGTCGGGCGCACGCGGAGGTTTCTTAGGGAGCCTTAGTCGTCTGCCCCCTCGGAGCCAGGAGCAAGGATGAAGTGGTGTTTTTGAGCGCGTGCTCTGTTATCTTTATTATAATTATTGGTTTTAAGGGTTTGCTGATTGTCCCTGTGGATTCCTGGGGTGCCCATAGGGACAGGGGAGTGGAGAGTGTCTTCGATTCTCTCTTCACTTTCTGGGTCTAGTGTCAGAAAGCCTAGGCGTCCAGACTTATCGCTGGGTCACCCTCCACTTCCTCTGCACTTAATGTGACACGACACTGATTTATAAAGTATCTACTAGTATGTGTCTTAAGTCTCTGGCCCTTGATGACTTTAGATAGTGCTTCCAAGTTCCTCTTTTGGGCTCTTACAGTGTTTTGTTGGGGACATTAAAGCTCCAAACACAGTGTATTACAGTTGTTTATCTGTCATCTCAGTGGTTTATGAGCCTGGCCTACGTTTTTTTTTTTTTTTTCATTTGGGATTTCTTCCCCACCAAGAAACAGATTGTTACAGTACCTATCATGTAAAAGACTCCTACATATTGAAAAAAATAAACCTACTGGTGCTAGGTTAGGTGGAATTTCTCATTTTCATTTCATAGAGTTAAGTGACTCTCTAGAGAGAACCTTCTTAGAGTTGAAACCTGGACTAGAACTTGAGTCAGATGACACCCATTCTGTGGCTCTTGCTATCAGATCAGGCTTTGAAACCCTGGAACACTGAAATAACCCTTGTCACTTTGTGTACCCCCAGCCTTGCTGTCTCCAGCATAGGTCTCTGAAATCAAAGGTAGGTCCCACTTACGGCCGAGAGAGATCCCGCATCTGGAGCAGCCAGTCCACTAATGTTGGTGCTACCTGGGGAGAGGCAAAGCTGGAGCCTCTGAGGCATTGGATCCTCCCCAGCTTCCTTCTCAGCATGTGCCTGAGGCCAGTTGGCCCTGGGTAGCCAGCTGGATAGGTCAGTTAAAGAATTCTGAGATCAGACGAGGGAAGGAGTTCCTAAGTTTGGCCCCTGATTTTCCCCCCTCTCTTCCTCCAGGCTAGGGTCAGAGAACAGGTTGATGGATCAAGCTGTTGTGTCAACCTTGAGTTCCTATCTGGGTTACTCTTAACCTGGGCAAGGGGTTGAGAGGGAGAAAGAACCATGGTCTACGCTATGGGAGGTACAGACCTGATGGAAACACCCCAGAGCCTGGCAAGCCCTGGGAAGGGGCAGAGTACAAGTGGGCAGCTGAGCCTTCAGCGAGTCAGGATGTAGAAGTGGAGCCGAGTCCATCAGGAACGGCTCCTTGGTAGGAGGTAGTTTAAATAGGGATGGACAGAGCTGAGCAGGTATTCGTTGACTACTTAGTAAGAGCTAAGACCTTGCAGAAATGGAGGGAAACTGAACAGTGACTGGCCTCTGATCTCAAGTACATTGAAGAGGGAGGTATATGAATTTATGAAGAAACTACTAACCATGGTGACACAATGGTTCTCAGCCTTCACCAACCATCAGAAACACCTGGGGAAGCTTGTCAAAAATACAGATTCCCAGGCCTTGTGCCAGATTACAAGGTTTGCTTGAATACTCCCTCTGCTTTCTCCCTTCTTCTTCCCTCTCTTCTTCTTTTCCCCCTTTCCCTTCCTCCCCCTTTACATGCAACATCTCATTCTTTTATATTATACAAGAGGCCTGGTGCATGGATTCGTGCACCGGTGAGGTCCCTTGGCCTGGCCTGCAGGGATCGGACCGAAACCAGCTCTCTGACATCCCCTGAGGGGTCCTGGATTGCGAGAGGGTGCAGGCCAGGCCAAGGGACCCCACTGGTGCACGATCGGGGTTGGGGAGGGACCGTGGGAGGGCTTCAGGGCGTGTCCGGCCTGTCTCTCCCAGCCCGGATCTCTCCCAGTCCAGGCAAGACCCCAGCAGCAAGCTAACCTACCGGTTGGAGTGTCTGCCCCCGGTGGTCAGTGTGGTGGTCAGTGCGTGTCATAGCGACCGGTCGAATGGTCGAATGACCGGTTGAACACTTAGCATATTAGGCTTTTATTATATAGGATTTTTTTTTTTAAAATATATTTTATTGATGTTTTACAGAGAGGAAGGAAGAGAGATAGAGAGTTAGAAACATCGATGAGAGAGAAACATCGATCAGCTGCATCCTGCACATCTCCTACTGGGGATGTGCCCGCAACCCAGGTACATGCCCTTGACCGGAATCGAACCCGGACCCTTCAGTCCGCAGGCCAACGCTCTATCCACTGAGCCAAACCGGTTTCGGCTATTATATAGGATTTTTAAAAAATATGTTTTTATTGATTTCAGAGTGAGAGAGAGAAACAAATGAGAGAGAATCATTGATCAGCTCCCTTCTGCATGCCCCCCACTGAAGGTTGAGCCTGCAACCTGGACCAGGAATTGAACTGTGACCTCCTGGTTCGTAGGTCAACACTCAACCACTGAGCCACACCAGCTCGGCATATTAATATTATTTTAAAATAACTTTATTTTTCAAATACAGTTTACATACAATATTATATTTTCAGGTGTACACCCCAGTGTTTAGACATTTATACAGTTTATGAAGTGATCATCCCGATAAATCTAGTACCCATCTGACACCATACAGTTATTACAATACTATTGACTATATTCCCTATCATGTGCTTTACATCACCGTGACTACCAATTTGTATGTAATCCCTTCATCTTTTTCACCCATTCCTCCAACACTTCTCCCATCTGGCAACCATCAAAATGTTCTCTGTGTCTATGAGTTGTTTCTGTTCTTCTTGTTCGTTTATTTTGCCTTTTAGATCACACATATAAATGAAATCACTCTTATATCAACATTATTAAGTGAATGTTATTATTTTTAGTATTTGGATGAGGAAACCAGAGACTGGCTCTGGTTACTTTGCTTGTAAGAGAGTCTGGTAGTCATCCCACTTACCACTGAGGATTCTTGAATGTGGGCAAGAAGCTGGACTGGGCTGGGGAGGTTGTAGAATTAGCAGGGGTGGCTGAGTGAATCATCTAAGGCAGTGGTTCTCAACCTTGGCTGCACATTAGAATCACCTGGGAATCTTTTTTAAATCCTGATTGCTGGGCCTCATCCTCCGGAAATTCTGTTTCTTTGTTACTAATGTTGTGGCCCCACCCCATAACAAAGAAAGAGAATTTCCGGAGGATGAGGCCCGGAAATCAGGATTTTAAAAAGATTCCCAGGTGATTCTAATGTGCAGCCAAGGTTGAGAATCACTGACCTAAGGCAAGATGGTTTGGGTGATTCAGGGCTCAGTCTTGAGTCAGATAGTTTGGGTTCAAATCCCAGGTTCATGACTTGCTAACTGCATAACCCTGGGCAAGTTGCTTGATCTTGCTAAGCCTCAGTCTTCTCACCTGTAACATGGGAGCAATAATACCCATCTCCTGGGGTTGTTACGAGTATCCATGGGGTGTATCTGGCACGGAGCACTTGCTTACCACCTGGAAGCTATTGTAATTAGCCCTTAGTAATTAGTCTCTGAGCTATGGCTTTGCACCTGCATCTCATTCTTCAGCACATTGGTTCCCAGGACACGGCTCATCCTGGCTGGGCTTGTTTTGTTAAGGGGGACATTGAAGGTGCTGAAATTTTGCCACCAGTAGACATTTATTGGAAACTTACCATAGCTTACCATGTCTAGGACAGTGATGGCGAACCTATGACACGGGTGTCAGAGGTGACACGTGAACTCTTTTTGGGTTGATTTTTCTTCGTTAAATGGCATTTAAATATATAAAATAAATATCAAAAATATAAGTCTTTGTTTTACTATGGTTGCAAATATAAAAAAATTTCTATATGTGACACGGCACCAGAGTTAAGTTAGGGTTTTTCAAAATGCTGACACGTCAAGCTCAAAAGGTTCGCCATCACTGGCCTAGGAACAGACTCAAGACCGAGCCTGATAGAAAGGAGGCTTGGAGTAGGGGATGGGTTATTCACACCAGGTGATGAGTGAAGGGGAAGAGAAGAGGTCCTTTCGTTACCAAGAACTGAGATGAGCTTAGTCCTGCCTGGAGGTTGGGGGATGACTGATATAGTCTCTTCCGAGTCCAGGAAATGGTAGTGGAGCCCTGGCCGGTCTGGATCCCTCCCACTCTAGGGCTGAGGGGCCTCTGTCCATCTCTTTTCCAGGTGACGCTGACATGGCTGTGCCCCAGGCTTTCCCACCGGGGCCCCTTCATGAGCCTGCAGGTACCCTGGTGGAGCCCCAGCTCTGCCCTCGAAGCTTGGCTGAGGGCTTCCTGGAGGAGGAACTTCGGCTCAATGCTGAGCTGAGCCAGTTGCAGTTTTCTGAGCCCGTGGGCATTATCTACAATCCTGTGGAATATGCGTGGGAGCCACATCGCAGCTACGTGACCCGCTACTGCCAGGGCCCCAAGCAAGTGCTCTTCCTGGGCATGAACCCGGGACCCTTTGGCATGGCCCAGACTGGGGTAAAGGGCTTGGCTGTCCCTGGTGGGTGGAGTGGGAAGCTCAAGGGGGATGCTTGGCTGCATGTGCTGTGGAGGAGAATGTGTGCGGCTGTGGCTGTGCGGGGCTCCCATCCCTTCCCAATACACACACTGGCTCCTGTGGGTCTCAGACGTTCTCCTGGCCTCACTGCCTGTCGTTAACCAAGGACATTAATGGTAGTTCCGTTTCCTCTGTGAGCTGTCCGCTAATTGCCTCTGAGAGCCCTTCCTTCCGCCAGCCCCATCCTTACCTTACCGGATCTCCCTTCTCCCTAGAATGTGGTTGGGATCAGGAGAGGGACCAGGACTACTGGGCCTCAGGAGAGACTGGTTGACGGGTCGGTATGGAGTCGATGCAGCGTCTTCAGGCAGCCTGGGCTCTGTTTCTTAGCTGAGGAGAGGTTCAGACCAGAGCAGGCTTCAGGGCCTGCCTGCGTACCTCTCAGGCCCCGGGATGAGTGACTGCCCCTTGGTGGGGTGCTTGGCAGGTGGGGGAGGGGAAGAGGCTTCAGGGCAGGAGGCTCAATCGCTTTTATTGACCCCAACTGGGGGATGAAAGGTGGTCAATGATGATCGATGGAAATGACAGCCTGAGGTGTGGGGCTGAGAGGGCACCCAGAGACCAGTGGTCAGCCCTGTCCTTGTGCCTCCTCTAACCCTGGCCGCCTTTCTGTCTCAGACCATCCATTCGTCCTCAGTACTACCCATCAGGCTTTATGAAGGGCCCGGTATCCCCGTGAACTCCCTGTACGTGGTCCCAAGGGCTAGTGGGGGTAGAGGCAAACAAATAGGTCTGGACCACAGTCCACAATGAAAAGTTGGAGAAAGAGGGACAAGATCAAACCACAGGACCAGGAATCCTTGTCTCAGGCCTTTGGGTGAGTGGGGGGAGGTGTTCAGGCTAGATCCTCATGGAGCGTGAAAAGGGGCCAGTTGGTCCAGAGAACGGGTGTCAGTTCTCCAGTTGGAACCGTCACGTCTCTCTCCTCCGCAGGTACCCTTTGGGGAAGTGAGCGTAGTCCGGGACTGGTTGGGAATTGGGGGCTCTGTGTTGACCCCTCCCCAAGAACACCCTAAGCGACCAGTGCTGGGGCTGGAGTGCCCACAGTCAGAGGTGAGTGGTGCCCGGTTCTGGGGCTTTTTCCGGAACCTCTGTGGACAGCCCGAGGTTTTCTTCCGCCACTGTTTTGTCCACAATCTGTGTCCTCTGCTCTTCCTGGCTCCCAGTGGGCGCAACCTCACCCCCGCCGATTTGCCTGCCAAGCAGCGAGAACAGCTTCTTGGGCTCTGTGACGCGGCCCTCAGCCGGCAGGTGCAGCTGCTGGGGGTGCGGCTGGTAGTGGGCGTGGGGCGGCTGGCGGAGCAGCGGGCACGGCGGGCTCTGGCTGGCCTGATGCCCGAGGTCCAGGTGGAGGGGCTCCTGCACCCCTCCCCCCGGAGCCCACAGGCTAACAAGGGCTGGGAGCCAGTGGCCAAGGAGAGACTGAATGAGCTGGGGCTACTGCCGCTGCTAACAAAATGAGCGCCCCTGGGGCCCGGCAGAGGGACACATTCAAGGCCCCCAGGTCCTTCTTGGGCGAGCTGATGACTACACGCCTCCTGGACTGGAGCAGGAAGATCCTCCTCGGCCGTCTGGTTGCTGGGACCTGCCACGGCAGTTTTGACACTATTCCGGCTTGCTCTCCTGATTCCTGCCTTCTTCCCCTTCCTTTGAGCATTGCCTTTTTGGAACCTAACTCCACAGAGAGGCAACACCTGCAAACTGCTTGCTTCACTGTTTCTTTGAGAGCCTCTGTTCAGCTGAGTGACCTCCAAGGTCTTATTTGCTATCTTAGAGAAAAGATCCTGCCAGGATGCGCACCCATTCTCACAGAGGAGTGTCCTTCAGCTGACCCCTCTCCTCACAGGGACCAGGACAAAGCACGGGGCATGGGACTGAGGCTGGATCAGAGAGAGGAAGAATTCCGTGTGGCAGAGTGGGGAAGGCTCGAAGACCTGTTGAGACTTGTGAACTTGACTTTGGGCATGTTGATTAACCTCTTCAAGCCTTGGGATCCTCATCTGTAGCGTAGCGTGGGGTTGGTGTGGGGATTAACTGAGATAACACTTAAAGTGCCTTGTGTGGTGCCTGGCACATAGATGCTCATTACACCTCTTTTTTTCTTGTCTCCGGTTGGGGAGTCACTGCACTACAAGGGAAGCCGCTCCACCTGTGGCCTGGGGGAGGGCAGACTTGCCCTGCCAGAGATGGACCAATGACTTTATGAAAAACCCAGCCTGTGATTTTTCAGTCTAAGCATTAAAAGCTCCTAAATCTTTTTGTGTTGGTGCTTTTTCCCTGTCCTGGGAACATGACAGGGTGGAAAGTGGTAGTTTATATTTTCCCTCCTACCTCTTCACTGTTGGCAAAGGGTAGCTGGCGGGTGATGTAAACATTTCCAGTTACCTTACCAAAGCAGCAGGTCTCTGCTAGGGGCCTGTCCAGTGGCTCGTCTTCTGCTCCGGGTGCTCTGGGGAGCAGGTGGTGGGTGGATTGGAGCCTGGTGTCTCCAGCTAACTCATTTCTTATGTCTGTTGCATGGCTGGCTGGTGTGCCCATTTGGGAAAGTGAATCAAGCTGGGAGCAGAGAAGGTCCTGAGACCACCTTAATGAGGAGCACATGGGCTCTCTGGGACAAGTCATCTCCAGCTTTCAAAATTAAGGCTTTTAGTATAAGAGTCTCCCCTGTTCTCTACACCCCAATTGTATAATAAAGAATTTTACTGGTCTTTGTCCTTGGTTCTTTAGAAGGAGCCTCTAAATCCTTGGACTTTCCCAAGTGATAGGAATTTCTGTTATTCATGGTGGATCCCTCAGACCACACCTGAGTTTATGATGAAGTTTGACTCAGGATGAGGGTGACCATGCCAGAAAGACCAACCATGTGATTAGAGGGTTGGGGCTTTGAGTCAGGTGATATCAGCCTCCATGGAGGAGAGGAGGCTAGAGATTGAGTTCAACCATGTGGCCAATGATTTTTTTTCCTGTATCCAAAATGCTTTTATAAAAAAAATATAAACACAAAATGATTTTTTAAATATTTTTATTGATTTCAGAGAGGAAGGGAGAGGGAGAGAGATAGAAACATCAATGATGAGAGAGAATCATTGATTGGCTGCCTCCTGCATGCCCGCCCCTACCCCCCACTGGGGATGGAGTCCACAACCCGGGCATGTACCCTTGACCGGAATTGAACCTGGGACCCTTCAGTCCACAGGCTGAGGCTCTATCCACTGAGCAAAACTGGCCAGGGCAATGATTTCAATAAGTTATGGCTACATAGTGAAACCCTAATAAAAACTCTGGACAAGGCTTTGGTGAGCTTCCTGGTTGGTGGACACATGGATATGTTGGGAAGGTGATGTGTCATGATTCTGTGGGGGGAGGGCACGGAAGCTGTTTTTTGGATCATCCCAGATCTTGCCTTATATGTTTGTTCATTTGGCTGGTCGTAATTGGTATCCTTTATAATAAACTGTAATTGTAGGTAAAGTGCTTTACTGAGTTCTGTGAGTTATTCTAGCAAATTATTAAACCTTAGGGTGTCATGGGGACCCCTGAATTTATAGCCAGAAGTATAGGTGGCCTGGGGACCCTCGAACCTGCAGCTGGCATCTGAAATGAGGGCAGTCTTATTTGGGACTTTGCCCTTAAACGTTGGACGTGGGCTAACTCCGGGTAGTTAGCATCAGAATTGGGTTACAGTTTTGCACCCCCACATGCCTTAGCCGTCTTTTCCTCTCTCTGCTCTTATGCTGTAGTGTAAGTAGTCATTGCCCCATGTTGCAGAGCACTGGCGTAGGCACTGTGGAGAACTTCCCAGCGATGGAAGCCGTTGTTCCCTTAGGCATTTAGCTGAGGCAGTCAGGGAAAGCTTTCTGAAAGAGGTGGCATTTCCGGTGGCCTTAGAGAATGGGAACGTTTTGGAGAGCTTAGAGAAGAGTGTTGTTATGTTCAAGGGGCAAATAGATTAGCATTGACTTGACCCAGTTGGGAGGAAAAACGAGAGGGAAGTTGGGGACAGTTTACTTGGTATGAAGGGTCTTGAATCCTAGACTAATTTTAGAGACTTTAAAGTACAGTTGGGGGAGTAGGATGCACAAGAAAACACCCAACAATAAGTGGAAACCCACAGATGGTAGAGTCACTATTCTTGGGGTGCATCTTGTCAGGGAAAGGTTAATTAGGATCCTGGCACTGCCCTTTCCCGAGTGCACTGTGTTAGTCTGCCGCCATAACAAAACACCACAGGCTGGGTGGCTTCAACAACAGAAACGTATTTGCTCAAGTTCTGGAGGCTGGAAAGTCCAAAATGCAGGTGTCTGCAGGTTTGGCTTCTGCGGCCCCTCTCCTGGGCTTGCGGATGGCCATCTTCTCCCTGTGTCCTCCCATGGCCTGTTCTCTGTGTGTGCACCTCCCTGGTAACTCTCTTCTTATAGGGACACCTGTCCTATTCATCCCACCTTCTGACCTCATTTAACCTTAATAACCTTTTTAAAGGCCCTACCTCCAAATACAGTCCCATTGGGGGTTAGGGCTTCAACATATGACTTGGGGAACACAATTCAGTCTGTAATAGGTACCTAAAGTCAGGTCACTGCTTTTTATGTCCCCCACCAATATCAACCTCCAACAAAAGAGGGTACTCAGGAGTGCTTTTCTCCAGGCCGGGGGTGGGGGTCGGGGAGAGGTGGTGATGTTGAGGCTGGTGAGGTAGCTTAGCTAGCTGATAGGACTTAACCCACCAGACTGGCCCTTCCCCCCAATTCATCTAGAGCAGTGTTTCAGTATAAATAAGTGTCCCTAGGGAAGGGAAGCTCATTGTCTTCTCCCGAGCCAAAGGGAATGGACACTTCACCTGCTACAAAAGTATCTTCCAACCAAATCGAAGTGATTTTGGATCACCTAGAGCAGTGGTTCTCAACCTTGGCTGCACATTAGAATCACCTGGGAATCTTTTTTTTTTTTAAATATATTTTATTGATTTTTTACAGAGAGGAAGGGAGAGAGATAAATAGTTAGAAACATCGATGGGAGAGAAACATCAATCAGCTGCCTCCTGCACATCTCCCACTGGGGATGTGCCCGCAACCCAGGTACATGCCCTTGACCGGAATCGAACCTGGGACCTTTCAGTCCGCAGGCCGACGCTCTATCCACTGAGCCAAACCGGTTTCGGCTGGGAATCTTTTTAAAATCCTGATTTCTGGGCCTCATCCTCTGGAAATTCTGTTTCTTTGTTATGGGGTGAGGCCACAACATTAGAAACAAAGAAACAGAATTCCCGGAGGATGAGGCCCAGAAATCAGGATTTTAAAAAGATTCCCAGGTGATTCTAATGTGCAGCCAAGGTGGGGAACACTGATGTAGACTTTTATAGTCCTATATAATAGGCACTAGCCACGGGTGGCTGTTTAAATTTAAATTAATTAAAATAAGTAAAATAAAAAGTTCAATTTCTTAGTCACTAGTTTCAAGTACTCACTAGCCACACGTGGCCAGTGGCTACTGATTGGACGGCACAGATAGGGAACAGTCCATCGTTGCAGAAAGTTCTATTGGACAGCACTGATCTAGAGATCAGTGGCTTACAACCCTGCCCGTGGATCAATTCACCTGTGGAGGTTTTAGAAAAAAGCGTCTCAGCCCCATTTAAGAGATTTTGATTTGGGAGGTCTGAAGTGCAACCTGGTATCCCTTCCCTTTGTACTCTGCATAGGCAGCCAAGATCAAGGCGGGATGGCACTAGTGCCTTGAAGGCAAGAAGTGAGTGTCTTACCTTCCTTTTGCCAGTATGCAACCCCACACCTGGCACAAAGTAGGTGTTCAGGACACATTTGCAAATACTGCATGAATCTTGTTTTGGAGACCTCCCCCAGGTGCCCAGGCAATAACATGAGGGTCCCCAGGGTTGTTGCTTTTTCCAGTGATGACGATTCAAATTCTGGTTCAAAGGAGTGATAGAGGCTTAAAAAGTCTTACCCCAAAACACACACACACACACACACACACACACACACACACACACACACTACACACACACACCCCGTGTTAGAGGCAGGAGTGGCACTGAGACTGAGGGATGGAGTATGTTTGGGAAGAAAGACACTTTCTCCTCTTGTTTCCCTGACTGAAACAGGATGGCTTAAAGAAAGATTGAGTCTTGATTTTGACTACTGTGTGGCCCTTCATTTTCCTTTCTCAATTCAAAAACACTTACTGATATCCGCTCCGTGTCGTTCCCCACACTAGGCACTGTGGATAGTGACAGAGGTGAATTAGGTGGTTCTTTGCCCTCACGTTGCTCACTGTCTGGTGTTGGGAGATACAGGCATATAATTATAGTATAAATCAAGTGGAAACGTGTTGTGAACAAGTTCTAAACAGTGCTCTGGGCGCACTGACTGAGGAAGTGATTAGTTCTCAGAATGTGGGTAGGAGGTATGTGTGCCTGTGAGCCAGGGCGGTGATTGGAGAGTTCTTCTCTCATCACTTGCTTAATCTTGCTACTTTCATGGAGTGGCTCTTCAAAAAGGGGGCCACTGTGTCATCTCGAAGAATTTCTCAGCCCTGACTGCAAGGAGATAGAAAACAGGATGAGGGGAGGAGCTCCAGAGCCAGGAAACGGCAGGAACTAAGGGTTGGGCGTGGCTCTACGGGAGACAGGAAGTGGGGCTCTCTCTTTGATCTCTTGTTCTGTGAACCTCTGTGATGGAAAACTGCAGCAGGTTCTGTCAGGGGGTGTCCAATTGTTGGAGCCAAAAAAGACCAGAAACTCAGCCTGGACATAGCTGGGTAGAGAAAATAAATGGAATGGAGGGAGGGACTAGAGATTGTGGCCCAGCACAGACTAAATCTCGACTCTTCAAATATTCCTGTTGAGGAGGATGTAGG